TTTTCACGTGTTGTCATTGTGGCTAACATCCGTGCTTTCTCTAACACCTTCCCCGTTTAAAAATAAATGCTTACACATAAGATTGTTTGCTTAGAAGGACACTGCGTCGCTGAATTGGGGGCGTGTACCTGTGGAATGTCCGCGTTCAAGTTCCACTTCTGTGCTCACACTAACGTATTGCTCTGGTTGTGGCGCTATTGGCTTAGGGAAAGTAAATGTATTTAAAAGAATGTGTAAGGGAATCTCTGTGGTGTCATTTTGTTGAACTTGTTCGGGTGTATAACGACATTTGATGTGATTCCAATGACGTGTAGTCAATCGCTTTTGACATTCCATTTCACACAGCAGATGTCCTTTTCTTGTTTTGAGAAATCCGGGAATCCAAAGGTTTATGTGTATCTCTAAAGTTGTACACAAACAATGGGTCATCGGGATGAAAATATCTCATGCGAGTACCGTGATTGCAATTGAGCTGATCTGCCAGCTTCTGGTTACACTCATTAGTCCCCTTTGCTGGAAACATTGCATCTAACGGTATGCGTGAACGTCGGCCAATAAAAGGTTCCGACAGGGATTGTTGGTTTGGGAGAACAGGATTTGGTGTTGAACGATACATGCGTAAGCATATATCCAAGTTTGTAGCAATATCGCGCTCCTTTAAGTTTAAACGGAGCGAGTTTGAATGTATCCACAACCCTCACAGCCTGTCCATTAGACTAGGGGTGATACATGGGATTGCGTATATGTTGTACACCCATGAATTGACAAAACCTTTTGAGCTCGTCAGATGTAAATTGTGGACCAGTATGATTGACGAGTGGTTCTGGGGAACCAAACTGCGGTCGTTGAAGCTGTCGTTGGTTGAGTGAGACTAACTATTTCTGGTCGTTTTGAGTATGAATCAACAAGCACCAGAAAATATTGGCTGTTCAGTGGGCCTGCATAATCCACATGAATCTGCATACCGAGAGCAGTTGATTTCGGCCAAGAATGAAGGTCAACTTTGATTGGAGTTTATGCAGCTTGTGAACATTTGGAACAACCACGAACAATGCGTTTAATATCCTTATCAATATTTGGCCAGTAAGCATAACATTTGGCAAGTGATTTCATTAGTGTAATTCACTGGTGTCCTGCGTGAAGCATTTAAATCACTTTTACTCTGAGATTTTTAGGGATTACAATGCGCTCTGCCAGCATTAAACAGACCTTCACTATTGTTAGGGCATGTTTAAGCATAAAATATGGTTTATTTTCCGCGGCTGATAGAATTCTTGGCCAACCGTTGCCAAATGATGACACGTTTTACACGGCTACCTGGCTGCGTAGACTCGCAAATGTCATTGTATATAACTATTAATTTTCGTATGCACTCTTTAAAGATAGATTTTATGTCAGCGTCTACTTTAACTGATGAGATGACCGTGTCTTCATGTGGTTACGAATTTGATCCGTTAGCAATCAGGCGCGAAAAGGCGTCAACCTAGCCAAAGCATTCCGAACGGATGTGTTTGATGGTAACATCCTATTCGAGTAGTATTGTTTCCTAACGTTGCAAGCGATTTGCGGTGTGCACATAAATAAATTGCTTCCTTGGTACCAAATAAAGACAACAGAGGAATGTGTTACAAAAAATTCTCCCTGTTTTCATCTTACTCACTTAACCGTAGAGTAAAGTTATCACAAAACACCTGCGCCAGTTGACAAATGTTGAAAAGTGTTCACCCCACACACAACAGATAAATCTCCCATTCTATCTGTCTCGGCTCATATGTGCCATATTGGATAGTACATTATTTACCTACATCAGATGCTTTGTTTAAATGGTATGATTCCAGCTCTGATTATTTCCTATCCTCAAGGTTGCTTCTCATCCTTTGCCTAAGGAAATGATAATTCGGTTCTGTCCGTACAAGGAGATCTTCGTCAGGACGTCATGATATGTTCTGCGCCCAAATAAGGATTTGGGCTGTAAAACCCTGGCGGTTATAAAAGGTTTTTATTTTTGCATGACATATGGAATATGCTGTTAAACTATACGAAACGATTGTGACAATATGATCATGTAGAACAAGAAATGCCTCGTGAAACTGAGAATATACATTATTATTATTATAACGTGAATTTTCGACCATGCAACATCTTATGAAACCATTTTGACAGCAAACACAATTGCTAAACCTACTTTTTCAATTTGGCTGTAATTCCGTTCAGTTGTTGTTAGTATGCGTGAAACAGGACTGACCGCTTTCTGCCTGCTATCAGGAAACTGGTGCAATAATGCTGCTCCAATCCCAAACCCAGATGCATCAGCAACAACTATAATGGGTAGTTTCGAGCCATAGTGTGTAAATGCAAGATTGGACATTAAAATGTGTTTTATTTCCTCAAACGTCTGCTGACAAGCTGATGACCATCTCCATTTTGTATTACTTTTCCAGAGTTCATTTACTGGCATGCGTAGCGAGTGCATATTAGGTACAAAGTTATTGCTATAGTTTACTAGTTCCAAAAACGACTGAAATATTTTCCTGTCCTATGGAACTTGTAGTTGTTGGATTGCCGTGACCTTTAATGGATCGGGACGACGACCACTGACATGGATGATTGAATCAAGGTACGAAATTCGAGACATGAAGAATGCACATTTGTCGATTCACAGAATAAATCCGAAACTCCTGATCCTGTCAAACACTTCATTTAGGTGTGCCTGATGTAGCTCAACTGAAGCGCTTACGATTGTTATGTTATCCATGTAAGCGGTAGCAAAAGGCAAGCCGTTTAGCATTGTGTCCAGTACTTGTTAAAAAATTTCCGGGGCACACTTAATTCCAAACGGCAGTCTGCTGTTTTGCAATATACCCTTATGAGTATTAATGGTGAGAAAGTGTCTTGATTCCTCATCAAGTTCGACTTGTAAGTGAGTATCAGAAAGATCAGTTTTTGAAAATATTTTGCCACCATTTAACTGCGTAAACAAATCATCCGGAATTGGTATTGGTGAGCCTGAAGTGCATCATTTAGTCCAGTTGAGAAATCGCTCCAAATACCTACTGTGCCACTGGCCTTCCTAACTACCCCAATGGGAGTAGCGTTGGTTGAATAATTAACCTTGGTTAGCACGCCCAATTTCTTCAAGTGATTCAGTATTACATCAACTAATGGGACGGCTGAATAGAGCACAGGCCATTTAGGACGGAATACTGGCTTTGCTTCAGGCACGACATACAAGCTAGCTCAAACTCTGGTGTAAAATCCAAGTTCTGGATTGAAAACACCAGCATACTTTTCCTGCAAATCAGCCGAAAGGTTATTTTTCACTCTGTATCAACAGTTGCGCCATCACTTGAAGACACATTTCACATGTTGCGTTTGTGAATAACAAATTGAGCTGATTGGAACATCCTATAATTGTAACGCCTCTATCCATTCAATGCCTTAATAAATTTAGTTCCTTTTCATTTGCAATGAAACATGTTCCACTGCATTTATTGTTTCGAAATGTGAACTCACAGTTTAGTTGTCCCAAAATAGTGATTACGTTGCCAGAGGCGTTCCGAGCAATACGCTTTAGGATACACTATCCCGGTTCTCAAATGCTTTACCAAGTCGAATATAAAATGATTGTTACGTCAGAAGCAGTGTCAATTTGTAAGGTAAGTGGCAAACTGTTAATTGTTAACGAGATAAACTTTCGTTCATACCTTACACCAGAACTATTTGTAGTGGACGCTAGATTTGACTGCCTTCTGAATGGGGTTGATTGGGGGTGTGATAATGCCACGCTTCCACATAGTGGGGACTTGTTGTTTATCAAAGCACCTTTGGAAAAAGATGTGACAGTGGTTCAGCTAGTTTGTTGGCCACAGCCTTCAGTGCCTTCCGGCGGATGTTGTCTGCTCCCGGAGAGCTATGATGGCGCAGTGAGAGTAATTTCCTTAGCACAACTGATGGGTTTGAAATTACATGTGTAAACAATGGAGTGGTAATGTGCAGGACATTATGGGACAGGTAGAGTCTGCGAGTTCGAAAATTGGGGCGTATTGTAGCCGCAGGGCATTAGCTGTTTGTACTCTAACGCCTGCTGTGAAAAGTGGAGGGATGCCAGGCTTCACTTTAGGAAGATTGTTGACATGTATATATAACGGTTTGTTGTTTACCATGAATTTTTAGCTAGGCACAGTGGATAAGTTACTTTATCCTCACGGACAAATGCAGTGCAATGGTTGCGATGGGTCAGGAAACTGCCCCAAGTCTCTGAGTCGGGGTTAATCTTGTGGTTACAGAGATGCTAACGTTCTCTTATGTGAGGTTGGAGAAGCTCCAACAGCAGCGATTATCACAAGTGGTAAGTAACACGTCGCCATCACCTCTTTGCATCACTTATCTACACACATTCCCTTCACGTAAGACGGCGTGAAACCGAAGCATAGGATTAAAAAGAGTATGGCATGGCTACCATGGAACTTGAGATTCATCCAATCAGAGACTAACCCAGCAGAAAGGAGATGCGATTCAAGACAACCTCTCATATTTACTGACCATCTTCCGTGAATCGTGAGTTCTGACAAAGTCACAATGTCACACTACTCTGGCTAAATCTAGTAAGGTGAAACGAGAAACTGTTACGTTTGTAAAACGATTGCATAAAAGCATAAATATTTGGCGGCACCAGTTCAACAATGACATTTGTACCAACAATGTATTGAAATCGTTGAACTGAGGACCACATGGATAAGAAGGACGCCCTGGAGTACTGCATCAGCCTGACACACAAGGTTTGCTAACGCTGAAATAGACATTCACACTGCCACCTAACGGAAAAGGCTAAAAATAAAAGACGCTCGTATACTACATTCATTCAGTTATGGTCCTACCCTGCATATTGTGTCAAAGAATGAATAAAGGGTTAGTACATTTTTGAACTGATTGTTCATCGGAACAGTCCCTCGTTGAGACGATAACTATACGCTTCTTTTGTCTTCTATCAACTAACTCACTTGCAATCGGTTGCGCAAGAAAACTAACGTTTCTTCAAAAGTTTCGTTTAGCGAGCAGAACTCGTCCTTAGAAAACAGTTCTTCGACTTGTGTGCTACCGCGCTCCCCATAGCTTTGCAGTGAATCAAACCCATCACCTGCCGAACGTTGGTGTGGTACCTCCGCGAAATCAGCGTTAGAGTAGTCCAGTTTTTCATGGAGGGAAAGTGAATTCATGAATCCATGATTATCGGGTTCGGTTCTCGTAGTTGTTTCCTTTGCACCGTCCAATTCTAAACAAAAGCAAGAAATTGAGTTGGTTTGTCAATACCGGAAGAAATAATATGAGAATAGTTTGACTTAGTTACCTGGAAACCCTATGAGATAACATTCCGCGACGTCAGAATTATCAGCTAAAAGCTAGGGTAAAAGTTCAGATGCTGAATACCATTGAAAAAATTATAGAAATCCGAGTTTTCTAATATCTTTTACTTGATCCAAATAGATAAACTAACTCGCTACTCTTAAACGGGAAACTATTCAAGGTTTCCTTTTGGCGAGCTTTTGGTGCAGTGCAAACCGCCCATGGTCCCACTGTAGGTGGAGGCGTCCTGTGGCTATCCTATGAAGGTCACAGTGACGGGCAAATCCGAAACCCGATGCCGCCAACTATATATATATATATATATATATATATATATATATATATATATATATATATATATATATGCATATATATATATATGCTAAACTTAAGATAAAGAACGGCAGAACATTATTGACACCACCTATTTTTACTACGAGTCATGACATCCACAGATGCTAAATGTTAGTGGCGCGTGTCAGTTGATCCCCAACCGTAGAAACAGACAGATACAACTGACGCTGGAGATGAATTGATATTCTTCATATTCCTATGCAATACCATTACTTGTGAGCTGATGAACTTTTTCTATTCGCGTTCAGGAATTGCAAATAATGCGCAGCGAGGAAGGTGATAGATTGCCATGCGCAGAGGTAAAGGAACCAGCGTCAACGTACGCATAAACTGCTCCCCACAAGCACTCGACTGATAACTTCAGTGCCGTCTGCTTGGCGGTGCAGCCACACACGAGCAATCGGTTGCAAGCAGCGTTTGTCCACACCTGACCACTGCTGTAAATCATTCGAACAAACGTGGTAGGTTACACAGCCATAGGACAGGACTGAACTGTTAGTTGCACTATGCACTCTGCAGTAGAGCTACAGACCGACATCAAGACGACGTCACAATAATAAACGCAAGGTGCGCTTTAGTAATTCGTACTGCAATTTCCTTCTTAACACCGCCAACAATCGTGATAGAACCCCCGAGACTAGCAAAATGATTGAGTCTCATCATAGTGTTACTTGCCGTGCTGAATGCGAGCACTAGTAGTTACTTTGCCTGAACGGAGTAAAGTGCAAACCTTACTTCTGTACCTCCATCGCCAAGCCGGTCAAAATGTTTTTGACTACCTGAGGATTCCCTCCCATCAAAGTGATGTCATAAGCATAATCCAAGCCCAGCATTCCATTGCAGAGAAAAGTGAAACGTCACGGTTGTGGTCCGCTGCCGGTGATCTACGCCGTACATCGTCTGTGGTTAAGTTTGAGCAGGAATGGTGAGGTAGATCAAACTTGGAAGATACCGCTAGCAACAATAAACAAAGCAGTGTGTCTGCCATATGCTATATGCCCTGATTATATAGTTCCTTGAGGATTATTGCCAACTTGATACATGTATTGTTTCTTAGCAGACAATTCTATACGGCCGACCTATCTACTGAGCCCAAAGTAGGTATAATATCCAAAACAGCACAATCGCTGGCATTCGGAGGACGTGATGATGTTTGAGAATGGGACGCAGCGTGAAGATTTGGTGGGTTTAATCTCAACCAGAATAAACCTAGCTTGCTCCTTGTGAGACAAACTTTCAAGTAGTACTTTTAATGAAAATCGATGTAGCAGAAAGGACACAGAATCATGAAGTTGACATAGATAACTGAGACTCCTCGGTATCTGGTGTACTCGACACGCTGGTCCTATTGGTACCTTATAACAAGGACGGACTTGCTAAACCAGTCGAAAAACTTAGCATTGGTTCATACTTTACTTAACAGTGACATTTCGTTAAGAACTAGAGCTTGATTAGGGCTAAAGGTACACTGTCGAGGTTTTGTGGCTTTACAGCTTCTAACAGAATACCCTGCTTTATCTTTGTAAAACCATCTCGAAATGGGTTCGCAAATCCTCCGAGATTGACGCATCCTAGCACTACCTACTTATCACGTATCACAGGAGCATAAGCAAAAACAAACAAGCAGCAATCGAGTCAACGGAGGCAGCTAAGCTTTTAAACCGTTTGTGAATGAATGCTTGTTAGAGTGTACTAAGCACAAGAGAGTGGCGAAATAGGGATTGTTAACAGCATCAGCCAAAATGTCACCATTGAATCGTTGATGCACAAAACTATTTGCTTGAGTACACTCATTCTGGATAGTACGCCCATTAGCTGTCCCCGATGTTTGAGGACGAATGTAGCTGGATACCCACTTGCTATCAGAACGATACTAATCCCCTGCAGATTCTCGGTAGCAAAGGTGTTTTCTTAATTTTCATGCCCTCACCTTATAGCATTTATCCGTATCTCCGTACTCTACTATTTCTTAGCTATTGGCCAAGTATATATATATATATATATATATATATATATATATATATATATATATATATATATATATGGTTGGTGGCATCCGGTTGCGGATTTGCCTGTCACTGTGGCCAGCCACAAGAAGCCTGCGCCTACTGGGACCATGAATGGCTTGCGCTGCACCATGCACAGCTCCAACCACATACCCGATATCCAGTGCAAACCAGAAGGCATAAGACTTGGAGGCATGTGGATGGGAGCCACGTTTCATCAACCTAGCAGGCCCACACACCTTCACAAGCAAACACAAGCACGCTGTATATGGGAATCAATGGCACATAAGGCGGTGGCTGGACCGTAGTCTGCTCCACCGTGAGCGTATGGAACCACCTTTCGAGCCTAGCCAAAAGGACCATGCACCCCGTCCCCTCCAGCAACGACCAACTGTCTCCTGGAGCCAGTATGGACGAGATAGTGGGTAATAGACAGGTAGGCACCTTGTCAACATGCACATCAAGCGCAGCCACACCGGGGATATCATGCAACAGCCAATCACCTGGAACGACAAGATGAAATAAAACAAATACAATAATGCATACAGATGCGGTGGCATAACTCTAAGCTAAATAAGCATATGAAGTAAGTTGGTTAGCAAAGAATCCGCGTTAAGGAAAAAATGTCCACAAGTTAGTTAAAAATGCTACAAAACGCAACAGAGTTACCGAAGATAAGCGAAATTAATGTAAGCAACGTGGCCAGTTAATAGAAGAGTATTCAGGTAGGCAGAACAAACCAAATAAAGCGGAATGAAATTTATCCAGCTTAAAAAGACCTAGTTTAAGTGTAAGTTGGTTTAGCCCAACTGCGGCGAAGAAACATCAAGAATGCAACATCAGCCTCAGCATGGGGCACAATATATATATATATATATATATATATATATATATATATATATATATATATATATATATATATATATATATATATATATATATATATGGCATGTGGATGGGAGCCACGTTTCATCAACCTAGCAGGCCCACACACCTTCACAAGCAAACACAAGCACGCTGTATATGGGAATCAATGGCACATAAGGCGGTGGCTGGACCGTAGTCTGCTCCACCCTGAGCGTATGGAACCACCCTTCGAGCCTAGCCAAAAGGGCCATGCACCCCGTCCCCTCCAGCAACGACCAACTGTCTCCTGAAACCAGTATGGACGAGATAGTTGGTGATAGACAGGTAGGCACCTTGTCAATATGTACGTCAAGCGTAGCCACCCCGGGGATATCAAGCAACAGCCAATCACTTGAAACGACGAGACCATTAAAATAAATCGATAATGCATACAGATCCGGTAACATAACTCTTCACTAAAACCATTTGAAATAAACTGAGTACGAAGGAATCCACGATAAGTTCAAGAGGTCCGAAAACATATTTTAAGGAAATGCCACAAACGCGAAAATGTTATCAAAATCAACTACAATTAGGTTCAGTGACGTGTGCAAGTTTATAGAAGATAGTACAGATAGAGAGTAAAATGAGAAAGAAAAGCATTAGGATAAAATTGCAAATCCACCATCTGGAATAAAGAGACTCGGCATGCAAGCACGCAGTTGGTAAATCGAATGCAGCGTATCTACAAGCGCTGCGCCGGTTCTGCATACGTTCACTGCTGGACCCGTCGGCGCTTCGGCAGTGGTCCCGAGTGACCTCTCTCATGGCTCACTAGGCCTGCCTGACTAAGGCACTCGCGACCGCATGTTCTACAGCACCATGCGCTCGATGTCGATGGAGTACAATCCATCGGTGCTTGCCGCTTCCGCAATAGCCGCTTCTTCTCTGCATGCATGAGGGATTTCTCCCGCACTTCAGCAACTGCCTTCGTGATTAGATCGCGCCATGCACCACGATCAACCGCCTTCGATTCCCATGATCTGCAACCAAGATTAGAACGTGTGAGGCTCCCTTTGATCATGCCCTGGTAAGAAAGCTTTGGTTTCCCCACATGCCGCTTCCCAATACTCAGCTGACCGTATAAGAGTTGTTTCGGTTTCCGCGTTGAATCCATACAGCTCACCTCAGTTGCCTCAATAAAAGTATGCAGTCCACTGCATACATCCCACTTTGTCGCAACACTTCCGTGTCTGCAACTCTGGCGCCCCAACCGATCCGCAAAATTCGTCGCAGACACTGCTGATGAAACCGCTCGAGATATCGCACATCCCGACGGTACATCGTCTACGTTACACTGCCGTATAGAAGAACGGACAGTACCATGGATTTGTACACCATCAGCTTCGTGCCAATGCTAAGCTGATGGTTGTTCCACACTCGGTACTCAAGCTTCCCGAATGCCGCTGCTGCCTTCGACACCCGATTACGCAACTCAACGTGTAGTTGCTGATCAGTCGACATCACACTCCCAAGGTAGCAGAAGCGGGAGGTGGTTTCCAATACTTCAGCACCAATGCTGATTTGCGGCAATATTGAAGATTGCACCTCCGGTGAAGGCTGAAAGAGACAGACAGTTTTGCTTGTGTTGATGGTGAGCCCGAATT